TTTTTTTTTTTTTTTTTTTTTTTTTGAGAACAGGAAGAATAATCATCTTCAATTTAAAAAAATAGCTTATCCTTAACAAATGCTTAAAGTCATGGCCCAACTAACAACAAGTGGCACTGATTTCAGTCAGCTCCAGTGACTGCAGTAAACTACACTAATTTGTAGCTGAGGATGCAGTCCCAAATGTACGTACATGTTGAGAATATTAGTTCAGTACACTGATGGTTGACAAGTCAAATAAAATAACTATACTTTCTCAAACATACTCTATCACTTAATACACAAATTAAACATGTTATAATAATGGCAATTCAGAAACTATTTCTATTTCAGTTTGATTTTGCTATAAAAATATTAGTGAGCTAGTGAACGACAGGCAGTAAACTATATTCTCTAACTTTATATACAAATGAATATATTTACTGCAAGGAGAGAAGGGGAAAAAAAAAACTCCTTTATTTGCATTGCTGGCCTCATTCTGTCAACATATCACCCAGCTTGCTGGATACATAGAGAGATGCATCCTGGCAATGCTGGGGAGAGATCTGTATTTCCTGCTGTCTAGTTCAACTTATTAAGCATAGGATGATCCTTCTAGCACATCTAAAATAAATTAATATTGGATTAATTCAATTCAAAAAGATGCCAGGAAAACACAGTGCAGATTCATTCACCACAAAATTGAGACCAATCCACTTAAAAAAGAATAGCATATTCATTATGTTTACATGTATAATTGCCTAAAGCTGAGGCAAATGAGAGAATATATTCAAACACTTTCCAGCATGCCTTCAATGCCGATTAAGCAACTAGTTCATAAAATACATATAAATACCATATTTTTAACACTAACCATCACACACAAAAAAAGTCATTTTATTTTACTTTAGAAAGCATTTTATCTGAACTATCAAAACGTGGTTTTTAATGCTGCTGCTTGTATGTTATGTTCATTGGCCACTTCTTTTTGTTTACTGATGCTTACTTAGATTTTTCTTTTTTAATATCAAAAATCAAGGAATGAAAACATAGTAGTGCTTCTGTAAGTGCTAAGAAGTTTAGCAAGAACAACTGCCCAATTTTACATAATTGACTTAAAACATAGGACTGCTGGATAATTTTTATAAGGATATATCTAAACAATCTGTATGTACATACATTATGAAGAGTAAAAACAATAAAAATTCTGAGAAAATGTTTTAGCATTCACAGTACATTATTAATAAATTGATTAAAATGTATAAAACGAATGGAGACTGATAAAAGCCAGACAAAACTGCTGCTACTGTAAGAGTCACCATGTTGAGCTAGGACTGCAGCTCAGATCCATTGGCTTGGGGACACCACACGCTGATGGTTTCTGCACACTACCTGTGTCTGCAGGGCGACTCGGACACAGCCGTGTCCTGCTCAGACTAAGTAAACCTGCCAGAATCTCCCTGTGTATGAGGATAAATGCAGAGCGATTCCTCTTGTAGTGATGATGTGCAGATGAAATGCAGCTGGAGCCATCAAGATACCTTTAGCCAAGGAATCTTAGCATGTTTAGTAGCTGGCCTTTGGCGTATTTTACAAGAAAAGAACATGTAAATCTTATTTGTCCAAAGCATTAAATATCTGATAATTAAAAATAAGCAATAAGCAGGCATAGAGGCCTCTCAGATTTTTCAAGAGCTCTGGGAAGGAGGCTGTTAAAGCCACATAAAGAAATGTCAGAAGCAGTGTCCAGGGCAAAGGGTGCTGGACTCTTCAGTACAAATTAAATGACCTCAGGAATCTTCCTAAGTGTCCTACATTACAACATATCTACAAATTGGGAAATAATATCTAAAACTGCTTTTGCACATAGTTCTCTGGTTGTAGTTGTAAGGTGTATTTTAAAATTTGCTAGGTTTGTGCCATGTCTGAGCTCTAAAGGAAAGCTTTCCACACAGCCAGCACTCCAGAAGAAAAGACACTATCCAATCTCAACTTATTCCTTTGCAGAAAGCCCTCAGGCCCCAAAGCTCTCTCCTAACCATCAAGACAGAGATGAAATACAAGGCATCAGAAGCTCAAAAATGTACTTGGGAGGCAATCCTCTTGGGACTTCAAATATTAACATGAAAAATCTTAAACCTGATCTCTTGGCTACCAGGCAGCTGAGAGCAAGAGCAGAAGGCGGCGGACAGTCAGACCCAGCCCTGCTAATCTCAGCTTGCAACAACCGCACGCAGCTGCACAGCGAACCCGCTGCAGGCAGCACATCAGGTATGCAGCTTGCCCAGGGTACAGCATATATTACTCTAACCTGACAGCCATTTCACACAGATATGCATCCTGATTATCAACAGGGAATTCAAGCGGGGCTCGATCACATTTTCGTTGCAATAAAGTAACAGTGGCTTCAAATCCTTCTGTTGCAGCCTCTGGGTAATTATAGCAGGTAGACCATGCAACCTGCTGGCCTGCAGGAACGGGACCGCATCGCAATTCCGAAGGCCTAGGGGAAAAGCACTTTCTGCAGCCCTCCTGCCTGAACCTCTCACAATAAGCTAATTCTGCAGGGATTCTGTTCGAGCTACATCTCTTTTCTTTTCATCATCTATTTCAGTCATATAAATGGAAAACTATTGTATGGCTCCTTTCGTGGCACCTGAATATAGACACTGTAATGATAACCCAGGCCACCTTGTTCTCAAACTCTTGAGGAGTCAGATTGTGGCTACAGATGAGACAGGAGCCAAACCAGATCCTTGGGAATCACAATGCCACGCAAATACAGGCAAGAAAATAACTAGGCTGGAAGGTATGCTGGCACCATCTGCCATCCCAGGTGGCTTATAAAAATAAGGCAGTCCCAAAGACCTGTAAGACTGAAAGGAAAAATCACAAGTTTCTTTAAACTATTCAGTTTGATTTTACCTTCTGCTTTGCTTTTAAGCCTTCAGACTGTTCTAGGGTCATATATCCATGCTTTTCTCTGCAACCTGAAAAGACATGCATATCCTTTAATTAAAAAATAATAAGCCAACACACTTGTACTCATATTCACAAATTTCCAATAGCTGAAACTTTGAGGGAGAAAAGAAGCAATTGCCTTGAGACTTGTACTTCAAACATGGGAGCTGGCAAAGCCGGGGAGATATTCATCACCCACCTCCTCTCTCTACCTAATTAGTTGGAGAACTAGCTGGATCTGCAGTATCAGAGAGGAGATAACACAGAAAAGGTGATAAAGTAAACAGCTATAAATCACCGGAGCCAAGCTCTGCTCATCAGGTCCTATGAGAATTTTATACTAGACGGCGTGATCCAAACCCAAATTCTTCTGCTAATTTAATGCGAGTTTGCTTCCTGTCAGGACTTTGTAACACTTCATTCTAATTTTGTGTATATCCACTTTTTTATTCCAGGGGATATCTCCTTGTGCTGATTACAGGAAAATATGTAACAATTATATCCCTTTTTTTTTCTTAGAATAAGAACCACTGTTTTTTACAAGTTTTGTGCAAAGTTAATTAGAAAACTCCAAATTTTCAATCTCTGTCCTATATTGGTCTTTGACAGCTAGATTACATTTTGCTTTTACCCAGCTATAAAGTTTTTTGGAATGTTTGTGCAAGAAAGGGGATAAGTTAGGTTACAGCTATAGGCACACTTCAATATGATCAGGATTAGAATGAAGTACAAATTACACAATTTAATGAAGGCATAATTCTGCAGCCAACTTAGGTGTATTTTCTTGATAGATTATGTCAAGTAATGTTTGTTGTGGACGGGAGTGACACTGACTTTGCATTTATAAAGAGTGATTAGGAAATAAAAAAATCAATTTATACACAGAAACATTATTTTTCAAAGTGCTGGGAGGTAACAGTTTGATGATAATATTTTAGTTTATCCTGAATCAAATACCTGTAACGCGGCACTTTGTAAAGGAATTACTACTTGAGATTTCCTTCTGTTCTTTGGAAAGCAGCAGAGCCTGCCAGGAGATTCTAATCTCTCCTCCGTCCAATTCACATATATTTCAGCCTTTCCATACCTCAGTCATCGTGACCAAATCACTGGGGAAAAACTAGACTGTTTCAAATCCTTTTGTAGAGAAGGTGCAGTTTTCTATTCAAAGTTTCGGGGTTAGAGACTAGCTATTAATTTATTCTGACTTCCTTCAGCATCAGTTATATCGGATACGTGTTTAACTAGGGAAAATTTCACCAGTACTATAGCGAAAGGAATGGGTAAGGACTGTTGGGACAATTTCTTTATATGATGATGCTGTAAAATAATAATAAAACACCTAGATTGCAGACAATCTTTATTGGTGTTAAACACTGTTAGCTTCCTTTATATATATAATTTGGCACCAGTCAATTCATAGTCACCAAGACTGTACTATTCCCTAAGCAGCTATCTAAAATGTGAAGACAGAGATAATCTTTCCCTAGTGTGCTGTGCATTTAGGTGCAATTTTCTGACAATCCTTAACGAAGAGGAACAGAACAGAAGACAAATTCTCTTACCAATTTGTTAGCTGCAATGGATCCTTGTCTTTCTGTAATAGGAAAATAAAAATCAAACTGCAAGGAAAGTCTGAGAAAGGCAGGAAGAAAAAGACCAAGTGTTTACTGCCAGTATAATTATTCAACAGAGTATGAACAGAGCCATTTCATATGATAGAGGATAAACCATCATTAAAAGCATTCCTATCTTATGTACAGTATATAAAATGTTTCTCCTACCTATAAAGTTAAATCCTATTGTGGCCTGGTGCATATTTACTTAGATACCAGGGAGGGCGGGGGTTGTTAGGGTTAGGAGGAGCATGCTAAATAGTTCTTTATTTTAAAAAAGGAATAATGTGTTGAAAAGTAAAGCACACTGACACACTGTGCAAGACCACTAAACAGAAATATCAAGTGGATACTGTTTCCCTGGCGCCTTATATATGTTACAGGGAATGTACTTAAATTCATCTTTTATTTTGAGACATCACAGATTATGGTATTAAAACAACATAGAGCAATGTTGGATGGGAAAAAAAATAATGTAAACAGGATACTGTCAGTTTTAGAAATATTCTTTAGTATTTAGTATATTTAGTGTTCTTTCACTTACACTTACTTTCTATAATGGGCTTCTAACCATACAAAATAACATGAATGCAACAGCCAAACAGGTTAAATTAGATGATGAACCAATGAAACATTTTCAGACAACCTAAATTCGTAGCAGATGGTCTTGGATTTTCAAGATACGTCTGAGCTGTATGAGTTTTACTCGGCTGATAAGAATGACTATTGGTTTGAACTGGCTGCTCAAACTACACGTTTCCCTGCCAAAGTAATAGCTTCTCATTTTCTGTATAGTTCCTTCCTTGTGTTTCTTGTAGAAGAGCAAAGCACAGAAGAATTAGCATTCCAACATTAGTTTTCTTTGAAGATGTCCTAGGTAACTATTTCCCTTGCCTAATAAGTTTTAATCATAAATATCTAATTTACTCCACTCTTCCTGTATCTAACTGTGTATTATCCTTCAATGTCAAGTGCATGCAGAATTTTCTTGCTGTAAGAAAATGAACATTTTGGTACATGCAAGAGTGCAGCGCATTTTATAAATAAATATTTTTAAAATTGTTATTTCTATTGAAGAATAGGAGAAATGGTCCTGACTGGAGGCTCTGTAGCTTTTTCAGATGTACCTATTTAAAATGCAAATTTGCAAATGTCAGGGTCTCCATCTATAAAATGCTTCTTTAAATGTTCAAACTTTTCTTTTTCCCTCCCCAGAAGATTCCTGGGGATTCTTTCATTCAGATCACCTTTCAATTTTTAATTTACTTTATTAAAAATCTCAATAAATCATCATATTGCCAAGTTCTCTGACTGGAATTCATTAACATATCAGAAGATAATTTATCAGTCACATCTCATATATTGCTTCTCATACATCAATTTGTCATTCTTGTGCTTTCATTCTCCTTTGTAACAAGTAAAGAATTCTTATCTCATTTCAAATTTATATTAATAAAGGACATGTAAATTTTAACTACTTAAAGTCTTCTAAATGCTTAAATCAGTTGAGTTTATACATACCTAACTTCTTAACTTTCCTTTTGATAAATGAACAACGTTTTACTCTACCGATGTCTCTAAAAGGGTTAAAATCAAAGATCCATTAAGGCTGGCAAAATCTTGCAGTAACTATAGCACAACTAAGAACTTTGAACTTTAGCAGTATTAACAGTGTCAATAAAGCAAGACTCACGTTTTTCCATGTGATCTCGAGCAAGTCACTTGGCTCTCCCTGGCTCCCCGGGGTTTGCTGTAGGACACGCCAAGGGGGTGCAACGGTGCCACCTGAGCTGCAGTGCTCACCTTGGCACAGGTGGGGCCCCATGCTCAACAGCTACCCCAACAACCTCAGCACTTGGCAGGTCCAGGTTTCTCCTGATAGTCTGGGTGACAGAAAAGAGCTACTGCAAAATGAGAGTCAATCTGAAGGCTCCAGATATTATCTGCAGGAATGGAGGTAAATTTTTCAAGATTCAGTTACTGGATACAAACTAACAGTAGATAGGAAAGAATTCCACAAGGATTAGCAACTGGAAAGTCACCAAGAGCCTTCTATCAGATATAATACTGTCTGAATTTTCAAAAACATAAAAAGCCAATTCTTGTGTGCAACAATTCTAAGATTGTTCTAAAACAGTCCCATTGTGAAGCTTCTTTGTAACATAAAAAGGGGACTGATTCCATAAATGCCTGAGGAGACCCATCACTGAGGATAATAAAAGCCATATGACTAATTCTACTTTCACTAGAATGAGTATAAAAGAATTATGGAATAGAGACACCAAGTGGGAATACAAAAGGTTGTAGATAATATTTCTCTTTTGGCAGGACCATATATATAAAAAACAGTTCTTAGCAGCTGTGAGCACTGGTGAAGATGAAATTCACCTCATGTAACTTCCAATGCTTGCATTAGAGTTACCTGCATGTCAGCTGGTTGTCTGGATTCCTTCAACAGGAGTAATATCCAACAGGGGAGCAAATATGCACTTTTCGAAAACACTTCCTCTGACCTGTTTTAGACATTTATTTCAGATAAAATAGATTTGAGATTGTCTCCTAAAAATATTTGTTCTCTCTTAACTTAAATCTTGAAAAGTGCTCATAAGCTCATCTGCAGGTATATGCAGTGGAAGTACCTCAATTTGAATAGACGATCCAAACCACTGTCAGTGATGGCAACAGGAAAGTGCTTATCTACAAACCTCAATAAAAACAACCATATTCATCCCCACTCTAGCAAACAAGTAAGCTGTCATGACCATAAATAACACAAAGAGCATAAACAAGTGCTCAGCTTTGGAAAATCTTCTCTTCCATTCATTTATCTCCTATATTTATATACCATTGTGCTTTTGTTCTTGGAGCTGTATCTGATTTATCCAGTGATGTTCTATAAAGTACTTCAAAAAAAAAAAAAAAATCTTAAACTACTGTTTAGAACAGACATACACACAAAATTACAGATTAGAATCAGTTACTAAGTGATTTGTCTTAATGGTCTCCTGAAACAGTAAGTGCCAATGAATGACTATACTCTGGGGTAAAGTCCCTTTGTCCATTTAATTTCCCTGCAACTGCTTACTCTCTGTTTTGAGATGAGTCAAAGATCCAGCCAGCTCTTACTGGCTTCTTCTTACCTCAGTCAAATCCTTTGTAATTCTCCTCATTCACACTGAATTATCCCCTTTCTTCTTTTCCATCTCTTTTTTCATTCCTACTGTAACACTACCATACCTTTAACCATTTTCTTAACTCCTGTCTGGACTCTTTCAGCTCTATCTTCCTTAGGCAGCTGATAGAGAAGACCCTGGGATCACATACATGTACAGAAATACTAGTGCTAATTCCATAGTGAGGGTTTCTCAGGTTACCGGTGAGCCTGTGAGCTATTCATTCCTTGATCCTAAAAGTACTAGGTTCTCCTATCAGTTTGTAGGCTCTGTAAGTGTTCTTCCAGATTACAAATAATAGGAAATAGAATTTGTGAAAGTTCCAGACAACAGCACAAAATTGCACCCTCTCATAAATATACTGTAGTCGTGCAAACACACAAAGCAACAGCCTGCCATGGGAAATGAGCCGCGTCTTCGGGACCTGGGGGTCATGGGGGAAAATGCTGTGAACTACATGACAGAAAACGTGTGCCTATAAACCACAGAAAAAGCATTCCTGCCAATGCCAAGGCAAAAGCCTTATTTGCCTTAACCCTATAGTTTGACACAAGAAAAAACTCCTCATGCTTCTTGTCCACTTCCATTTTACAGGTTCAAAACACTCCCTTAAAAACTATTTGGTCACATTCTCATTTGCATGTCATTAGATTGTGCCGAGCTTAAAATTTTAACAGATTTCTGCAAAGCTGCTGCTAGGAAATAAAACTCCCTATTGAAGTGAAATTTCCACATCCGCTTTTATGCTTTAGCCAGAGACATTCACTATTAGTGCCATAACTTTAACAACCTCAGGCAAGGGATAAAAGTCCATTGTACATAAACAACATATCCAGGAATATCAATAGAACTATTTTTGCAAAGAGGAAATAAACGCACACCAGGCTGAGATCATGTGTGTGGGTACAATGGCCCTCATGAGCAATTGTTCTTTAAAATAGTTGCACAGCTACAGCACCCTGATTTTCCTTTGTTCTTTATTCCAAAACGGCCATAAGAATAGAATCATTAAATTTCTTTTTTTTTTAAACCATTAGAAATGTTCCTATGTTTACATCCATCCATCTAAATAACAAAAATCTTAAGGTAGTAGCAAAATTGCTAATTATTGTGGCTGCAAAGAAAATACTTTAAAATACTTTTTCCTTTAGCTGACAAAATTTTCAGTGTTACAATTGCAGCACAAGGATGACATCAAGTGGCTGTTCAAGTCAATTGCTCCACATTTTCTGTAACACTCTTGTGGAGTCTTCTTACTAACCCACTCCAAGTAAAAATAAATAGATCAACCAATCTCTTTGTTTTAAGTTCACTGCTTGCTTAGTTCTTTATTTCAAGTCAGCTGTGCTTTCTTAAGCCTCTCCTTAGAAATAAGCCTAGATACCTGACAAAACATGAAACCCATCTGTTTTTCATCTAATATCCCTCATTCAAGAAATCATCTATACATTCCTTTGGATTTAACTAGCTTGTTGAACTTTGTAATAACTGGCATAATCAGGTTTAGCTAGTCACACCTTTACTAGAGGAAGAAGAAAAATCATCTAAAACAAGCATCTTTGAAGGATGTTCTGGCTATTTAAAGTTTACTTTAATAGCTGAAAGATATTTCATAATTTAATATTACAGAGAAATAAAAATTGTGGTTTGTGAAAGAGAAGCTCATTTGGAACTGGAATTTATATTAAACCCCACCTTGATCCCAAACTATTATTCCACATAATCGCACTGATATGTTCTTGTTCAGGGAGAAGTACATGCAGTGACTCAGGCAGAACCAAAGGTGCCTGCAACTGTTTGTCAGTAATGTTTAGTGGCCATGGGTGTTCTGCCTGCCCTCCCCTTAGCGGGACACTATTTGAGCATCTCTTCTCTACACAACTGCCCATTTTCACAGATATATCTCAAATTTCTTGAAAGCGACCCTAGCTGCAAAAGATACTACGGGAGACAGTCCAATGGAGAGAAAGAAAAAGAAGCTAAGATATCATGAGTCATCGTGTAATCAGGTAAGCCTCACTTCTTGTAGAAGTTGCTTAAAGAAAAAAAAAAATACCTCATCATAGACATGAATTTCCAAGGCTGTTGAAGGAAAAAAAAAGTAAAAAATATATGTATAATATTTATATATATATATATCTAATATATATATATATTTAAAACCAGCCCCCTGGAGAACTGACATATTCATAAGTAATACAGATCTGTTTGTTTCCATTCTTTTGCTTCTTCTTCCAATGTCCTATATAAGTTAGCTCAATGCTGAAGTCACCCACACTACTTTTGTCCTTCCCTTTCCTTCAAGTCTAAATGTACTTTGAAAAATGAAACACTCTGAAAGTGCCTTGTAAAACCTACCTGAGGAGTTTCCTCCGAGCCCTGCCTTAGCAGCAGATTTTACCCTGCTTGCACGTCAACTAATATGCTCATTCCAACACTCAGATGACACGAAGCTGTCTAGTTCTGCCAAGAGTTTCTCTACGTTATCTTGTCATGTTTATTTAAAAGCTCTGATTGACTCTTGGAAGGATGTCTTACCAGCTATGAAGCCCCCCGTAAGCAGATCCATTCTAATTCCTGGAGAAGCTTGGAAAGGCCTCAAGGGAGCTCCCCATCTAGGAGAGCTGGGCTGCCCTTCAAAGTCTGCTAGTCACACGAACTCCCTGCGGGACTTCTCTAGCAAGACAGTCACCTTGTCTTCTCTGAGCTCTGGGGTTTCACAGCTGAACTTGATAAGGGATGACAGGTCCTTGTTGCAGCAGAACTCTGGAACTAATGAGCTTTTTCTAAATGACAGGCATGAAACCAATTGCATTTAATCTGTGATTTTAATGGTACTGGGTATATACACACATTTAAAATAGTATTTGCTCTCTGAATATCTCAGAAGTTTTTGCTTCAGTAGCTTCCTCCTATTGAAAGCAACATTAGAAAAATATTAACACTAGAAGTTTAGGCATCATCAGGATTAATTTAATCTTACTAGCAGGTACTAGAAATTTAGTAATCATTAGATTAATAATTTAGGACAAATAAATGCTTGGTTCTATTTTTGCTGAAGTTCAGAGAAGAAAAATGCAAGAGTTTTAACAGGAATAAACTTCTAATGCCAACATTTATAATACAACTTTTTTTGAATTAAAAATATAGTGCCATTTAGTAACATACTGTAAAACCAAGCATCTATAAGTAAAGTTCAGGCCATTATTTCACTGAATATTTCACACTATCACTAGCAGCTTAGTCTGACACCAGCTGGGCATATGTTTAGCTGAAATAGCTCACCTGGCTTTTTCTAGAGGTGCTCCCTTCTTCTCACATTCAGCTTCAGTAGCTCCTTCACAGACTGAAAAAAAAGAATAAAGAATTTAAGTGCTAAACCAAACTAAATGTCATCAGGAAGGCACTGACCATGAAAGCACGGGCCATACAACAGGAAAATGAGTATGTGTGGCACGCATCCAAAGCAGTTTATACCTGCAGTTTATACCTGCGTCTATCCAGTTTATATCTTCTTTAAATAGCATTTGGCAAATAAGTACAAACCTAATCACATATCTGAAAAAGACACTTTTCCAATTTAAAAGCTGCTGGACTGGGAAACACTTTGCATTAGCAGTTCCATTCTACATTATATAAATAATAATTAACAACTGCAAAGACTCCATTTCGATATAATCCATCTCTTAGTTACTACTTTTACTTAGTATTCCTGAGAAAAGCCAACAATCCTGCTGTTAAACTATATGCCATCAACAACAATATCGTTCTGTCCTCCTCAAAATCATACATTCAAATGCACATTTTTGTAAAGATTTTCAGTGATTGCATAATAGTGGCTAGTTCTTGGCATCTAACCATCTCAAGCATATCAGCAAAAATAGGCTCTGAATCATCTTCTCCAACAGCAGCATTGCCAGCTTCAAAACCTGTATTGTGCAGCTGCTCCAAAACTCGAACGTGACTAGAAACCAGCAAAATTAGAGCAGACTGCCTATCCGACCCTCTTTTGCCTTTTACAAGTGTATAAGATTTTATCCACTATCACCAAAAGATAAATCCCAAGAACAATGAGAACAAAACAAAATAAAAATCCCCTCAAATGATGTTGCGGATCATCTGTAACTGTAAGAAGTTGCAACTTTAAGTTGCAACAGGAAATCTATAAAGCCTTGCATTCATCTGAAGAGCAGACTGAAGGGTCAGCGCCAGGGTCCTGCTCAGCAGGGAGCACCAGCATTCCTAAATGGATACAGATACTTTGTTCACATCATGCCTTCTGCTGCAGCACTTAAGTGTAAGAAGTACAAGTATCGAAAGAGAGAGCAACATCCTGTAGAATCCCAGAGAATTTTGTCTGGAAACAGTTCAAAAGAAAGATCTGACCCTTTAGTATCGTAGCTTAAAGATAATGATGGAGTCCATCTGTATGTGGACTTCTACAGAACTAAAGAGAACAGTTATGTAAGTCTGAGCTTTTGGCAAATGTTGGCTATTTATATCGACTTGTATCATATGATAGTATGCATAAATGTTTTAATTGTTATAAAGATAGGGAAAAAATATGTTTTCTATTTCTAGTCCATTCTTTCTCTCTCTTTCTGGACAGTTTACATTGCGAGCACTAAAATTTACTACAAAGATTGTGATAAAGGTCTGTGGTGACAGCTGCATGGCAACTAACCCCCTATCTCCTGGCTTTCTCTTCTCATTATTATCCTGTTGCCCTAATTTATGAGAACAAGGCACGAACTTTTCAGTTTTGTTGTTTTAATTGAATTTGCCTTAATGATAACAAAAAGAAGAGTAAAAGTTTTCCCCACAACCTTTCTTTCTTATTTTAAAGCAAGCCAACCTAGGAATCTGCAGAGATGGCAGATTTTTCTGAGCTCTCACAGCTTTATCTTTAACATTGCAAAGCTAATCAAGTCGCATTCTGAAAATCTATGAAATATTACTGCCTGCTGCTAGGTTTAGTGTTGGCAATTACTTACGGATTTTAGATGGAGGAGAGAGAAGAGATATCAAGTCTATACAAAGCCTTCTTATCTAAACTTGGCAGGGTGCATTTTTACTATTAAATGTCCACTCAAAGGCTTGCTGTGTTGAGCTTTCATTTTTGTTGAGGTCATTATGTTCACACGAAAGCAGGTTCACTATCTGAGTTCAGCTCTTTTCCCCAAAAATATAAAGAAAGCAGTCATCTAAAAATGGAAGTATTTTGAAATGATGATGATGTGTTGGGGGGATGGGTAAGTGTTATTTTCAAGTTAGCTCCTTGAAACAGTTTCCAAAGCCACTACACAAATAATACTACCAAGGCAAAGAAAAAAGAAAAAGAAAAAAAAAAAAATAGCATAACTTAAATGTTTAACTGTAGACTTCTGGACCTGAATCTTTTCTTCTTTACTTCAGCAAAATTCCCCTTATATTTATTCAGCTAGAATAAACTGAAATAAATTTGCAAATTGAGGTTGCACTGCAAGCTCTAGTCTCTGGTCAGAAAATCTGAAATGCTGCTCCATTAAACTGTGTCTTTGTCACAGGACCCAAGCACAAAGCAGTGGGCATTTGCTGGCACTTCATAACCTATCATGTGCAGCCCTTGTAGCCCCAAGACAGTTGTCCTGTTTCTGAATTTCTTGTCAGTTGATCAACAAAAATCAACTCCCTCCATATAGTAGCTCCACATACACTTTTTGTTAGCTGTTCCCTTGCTTTAAATTCAACGCAGGCACTACAGACGTGACAAAAACAAGAGGCAGCAAGCATCCAAGGCGGAGGAGGTAAAATTGAAAAGAGCCTGCTGCTACCATGGAGTAGACATCTGGTATCAAGAAGTGTGAACTTGGATAAAGGCAAACAGCACAGATTAAAATTGATAGCTATGTGGCAGAACCTCAACAGAAATGTACTCTTCTGGTAAAACTTTTCATTCAGTTCACTCAATATGCTCATATTACCTTTTCACTAATTGAGCTTCTCATCTGCTGAAAGTGCAATCTGTCACTGTGCTGGTATATGAGAGGTATGGAATATATCTTTGAGGTTCTTGATCTTAAAAAGAAAATCCTTTGAATGAAAAAGTCAGTCTCAGATTCCACAGCATATCTATGGCATTTCAAAGAAAACAAAGTCAGAGAACTCTAATTAACAAGAGCACTCTTGCTATTTAATCAGCTAATGACTTCAGATACCCTCTTCAATTCATACTTCCTAATTTGGCATCCTCCATGCCATCAAAACTCCTGCTACAATTTTCTTGTCCTTGCATTTATTTGAATCCTACAAACTGGCCGTATTTTAGATGTTTTAACTTGCTTATTATCAGTAGGACTTTGGAACAGCATCTGTCACCTTCTTATGATGTTTTATTTTCATTATTTTATTTCCTAACTCTTTATCTCTGAGATTTACTATATAATGAACAATCACTTAGAACAGTGGCCAGATGGTGACTGATGGGACCGATGACTTCAGTGTTACCTAGCTTTTTTTTTTTTTTTTTCCTTAAGAGATAAAACATTTTGAAGATGCTGCTGGGAAATGCAAAGCCCCAGAGAGAATTATAAATGCCCTCTTGTTGCGTCATTTATCTTTTAACAGACCTACGGACACTTATGATTTATTTCTGATCTGAATTTGGACACAGCAAAATATCACGCTTAATGTTTATTTCTAGATGCAGTAGCAAGAGACTATTCAAAATACATTATTTTAAAAAATAGATTATTTAAAAAAAAGAGTATTCAAAATAACCTTCTGAGATACTAGAGATGGCTATTTCATTTCCTTAGCTACTACTCCATCTAGTGATAGGATAATTTACAACAGTCATCATTTATCGTTTAGAAATTTTAATACACCGTGCATTTTCCTACAGGTTGAGGACACCCTTTCCAAAATCTTTGCTTCTTGTGTAGGAGCCCATGCTGCTGTGCAGTTTTGTTTATATGCAGCTTTGAAAGTTGACCGCTTTTGTGGCTTCCCTATCAGCACACACTTGAACATTGACAGGATCAGAAACCCCAGGGGCAGAGAAAAACTGTTCATGAGAACGAAAGTAGCAGTTTGTGATATACTCAGCTTCTGGCAAATTTTCCTTGAACAGGTCCTGGATTCATGAATGCCATGGTTAGAAAGTGATTCATAATGATTTATAGGGAATATAAATAATGAAAATAGCCACAGTCAAGTAAAGGGAGCTCATCACTTTCTCATTTCCATTAACAAGAAGTACCCCACCTTGGTTTGAAAAGTAAACCAAAACTCCATCCTACCTAATATGAGACTACAAAGTAAGAAAGCAATCAGAGAGAGAATTGGCTCCTAGGACATTACTGGAGGTTGAAGCTCAAACTGCAACAAAGCAGACAATTGAAATCATGATTACTTATTTCTTTGTAATTTGACATCTTTAAATCAAGAATTAGCTAGAGTCCAAAGATATTCCTTAATGCAGAGGAAGAGGTAATAGACGGTAGTTTTATTTCCAAACTAACAAACCTGTAATTTTCTGCAGTTATGTGCATATGCATCATTTAAAAACAAGTTGTCTGAAGTGTAACGTACATGTTAGGCTACATAATTAATAATTTTGTCACATGAAGTGATGTGTTATCAAGGCTCAATACCCCCATCCTCAGCCTTCCAGAAAACTTCCCTGTTTTTAGTCTCAGTTGGATCAGCTCACTCCCCATGTGGTCTTTCAATTCCTAGCACTTCCAGGTTTAATCCACCAAATCCATCCAGGAAATACAAATCCCGTACCACAAAATCTCATACGAGCTAAGAATCCCACACTTGGCTATCAGCTGTATTCCGATTTGAATCCAATTGCTGATTCAACAGCATATAAAAAGCCTTCACACGGAGTGTTATGGGACAGCTGATGTGTTCACCACAGGTTACCACAGGGGCCTGCATTACCAGCCACTGAGGGTTCAGGCACAGACAGCTCCATTAATTCTTTCTTCACAGGCTCATCATCATGTTTCTCCAGTTCCTGCTGCAGGCTTCTAGGCCCGATTATTATCCTCTTTTTGAGAACTTTCTTGATTATCTACCTTTTTAAAACCTTTCTTAAATGCAACTCATTCCCTATTCCACATGATCTGCTTCAAAGCCTGTGATGGGGTGACTGAATAACTAGAATGCAGATGAGATGTATGTCAGCCTGTCCGCCCCTGCCCTCAGCATCAGGTCATCTGATCTTATTAAGCACACAGTCTTTGGAGGGGAGGAAATTGTACAATAAGCACCTTGAATGTCATTAGCTTTATAGGTAGACAAACACTCTGTTTTACTAGCTATAACCCTGTTCTCGTTATTAAATGAAATACATAGAATTTAATTCTTCTGAGTTTTGACTTAATTCTGTCCACAAAATAAAACATGGTAATTTAGCACGAAGGCAATCCTATTAGCAATACAGAAGTAATCTCAAGCTGATTCACTTAATTCTATCATCTTGAAAATCCCAGACAGCTTCCTTCTGAAAGTTTTAGCCCTAGATAAATTTTACTGCAACAATGCAATCAGGCAAATGTGCCTCTGACAGTATTAACTATGCAAACTGGAAAGAAGGAAATGCAAGTTGGACCTTCTGACCTAAACAGCGTATTTCCTTTCTTCACAAAATCTCTTCAGACCTAGACACTATTAATAAATACATGGACCCTACCTCCCCACATGCAGACTTTCACAACACATCATTCCAGCCATCTGAGCAAACTGAAAGGAAATGCTTCTAAAGTCATAGAAGTCATAGAAAATTAGGCATCATTA